CTATTCTATTCTATTCTATTCTATTCTATTCTATTCTATTCTATTCTTCTCTCAAGTTTACCTCATAATGTTCTCGGGACTGGACAGACTTGAGAGAACTAATCCAGTCTTCCATCTCTTTTCTGTTCTCTGCACACAATATCAACCTTCGGAACGGAGTGATGATCTGAAAAGGATCGCTTAGGTTAGGATTGTAAATTGCTAAAGGGAAGGCAGGTCCAAACAGAACATAAGAGTTTTTTTAAAAAAACAACAACTTCTTTTTATCTGACACATAAATGAGAACACTCCCCTTCGTCACCGTTGTAAGAGCAAATTAACCCAGCAGCTGCAAAGGTTTCGTTTCTGCATATTACAGAACAAAGTAATTTATCCTGCATTCGATTTGTACACACCCAGGGAAAAATCAGAATGTTTTTTTCAGATTTGCTTTAAAAACACATCCGTAAGTGTATACCCTAGTAACAATGATAAATCTTTCTTAATATCCTGCATTTGACAAGTACACAATGATCTAAGGACTCGTGTAACCAGAGATTGGCATGCTCACCAAAACGCAGCACAACCTGACAGACGGGACAGGGAAAGCTGTCAATCATCAGAGTTGAATGACATTCCCATTCAGTTGGGTCCCCCTTGCCAAATCTTAAATTCAAATATAATCTCCTCAGTCTGAAATTCTTCAGGACGAGTCAAACAAAGACAAAACAATATAGTATTTATACCTCCGACTTCCAAAAAGCAGTGAGGTTTAGACCATGAAGCAAAGCACATATTTTTTTTTCCATCCTGGTTAGATTCGTTGCTTGCGATATCTTTTTCACCTCTCTGGAGCTCTCATTTTGGAAAGCTTAAACGATGGCATAATCTATTTAAGATCCCCAGAACATGATTCCAGATTCTGAATGCCATGTCGAGATGCACTAGAAGACGGTCTGTTTGATAAACCCCGGTTTAAGCCTCTTGCAAAAATAGCAGATCTTCCTGGCCAACAACTTACCCAGTCTTCTTCTTGGCAGCGTGTTCGCTCTTTGCTGCTCTCCACAAATGGCACTAACACATCAGGCGAGATCACTCAGTACGTAGGTACAACACACACACACACACACACATACAGCCCCAGGGTCACGTGCAAACAGTAAAAACTCCTGAGCATTTTCATATAAACAAACAGAAGGATCTTTTTCCATCCTTTTTCTTGCTCCATTCAAACCCTCAGTATCCGTTCCTTTTCCTGAACGTCGGCGAAGAAGAAGTAGGGAATCTCATTACGGGGGGTGGGGTGGGGAGAAAATCATGCAGCCAGATCCCCCCTTTTTTTAAAAAAAAGTACGGCTACCTCCTCAACGTACGACCACAATGGAGCTCAACATTTCCGTTGGTAAGTGAAACATTTGTTGTAAGTGAGTTTGCCCCCATTGTATGGATTTTCTTGCTGCATTCGTTGCAATCCCTGCAGTGGGCAAATTAGTAACCCGGTTGTTAAGAGAATCTGGCAGGCACATCGTAACTATGAATGGCCACTAAATGAACCGTTTGTAAGTCAAGGACTACCTGGGCGTGGTGGTAAACACGGCGACTATGCTGCCAAATTTGCATTTCTTGCTCTGGGTTGGAAGAAATAACCCGGAGAATGGACACAATTGTTCACATTGTGATCCAACCCAATCATCAAAAGAGATTCTTGGCCAGAAACTGGAATATTTTGTGTGTCTTTTTTTTAAAAAAGCAGCTGCATTTTTTGCAAGGTGTGAACCCATGAAAACCTTTCCTGGCTGTTTCTGCATCCATTCTGCCTTCACAATTTTTTTCTTTCCATTTTTTTCTCCCGCCAGCTTAGCCTCCAAAACAACTGTTGCCCCTTTGCAAAATTGCAAGAAGCCTGCCTGACCAAGGCATAAAATACCCATCTCTTCCGTTCAATTTTTTTCTACCATTCCAATTTTCTTCTAGGAAGACCAGGTAAAAATTTTAAACAAACCACTAAATGAAAATCAACCACATTTTTTTTTAAATAGGCTAAGAGTTTCCTAAATATGTATGGAGATTGTCAATCGTCCAACTCATGGTTATCCCAAAGGTGCTTTTATCTCCCGAAATAGCAACTGGATTTTCGTATGTTTTTTTTCTTCCTTGAAACTGTTTTGCTTTCTCATCCAAGAAGCTTCTTCAGTTCTGACCTGAAGAAGAACTGAATGGAAGAAGCTTCTATCTTGGATTTGGAACACATTTTCAAGGATGGGGGGGAGGGAGAACCCCAAAATAGGTCCAGCTGAAAATCACCTTAGGGAGTTCCTTGCTGGGACTCTTGGTCATACTGGGGAAATTGGAGGTTGAACTGTGATATCAACCAAATTGGATTCCCAGTTAACCATCTGTTGCCTTCGACAAAAGAAAGAATGAAAGAGAGAGAGAAAAAACAGAGGGGAAAGATAATGGACCCCTTCTGCTCACCTTTGCTTACCTGTTATTAAGTTCCTTCTTCACCCACACCCAAGTATTAGAAAGAAGATCGCAAGGAGGACTTGAGTTTGGACTTCTGGGAACAAGTACGATGAAGAAATGAAGCCATCTAGCTCCAGAAAAACTCATAAAGTATCCTCGGGTCCACCTTCTCTCTCTCTCTCTCTCTCTCTCTCTCTCTCTCTCTCTCTCTCTCTCCCCCCCCTTCCCCCCCTTCCCTCCGGTCTCTCCCTCCCTCTCTCTCTTTCTCTCTTTTCCTCTCTTTCTCTCCCTCTCCCTATCTCCTTCTTTCTCTCTCTCTTTCTCCTCTCTTTTTCTGTTTCTTTCTCTCTCTCTATCTCTTTCACTCTCTCTCTCTCCCTATCTCCCTCTTTCTTTCTTTCTCTTTTTCTCTTCTCTTTTTCTGTTCCTTTCTCTCCCTTTTCCTCTCTCTTCCTCTCTCTCTCTCTCTTTCACTCTCTCTCTCCCTCTCTCCCTTTTTTCTCTCTCTCTCTTTCTCCTCTCTTTTTCTGTTTCTTTCTTTCTTTCTCTTTTTCTCTCTCTCCCTCTCTCCCTCTTTCTTTCACCCTCTTTCTTTCTCTCTCTTTCTCCTCTATTTTTCTCTCTTTGTTTCTTTTTCTCTCTCTTCCTCTCTCTCTGTCTCTGTCTTTCTGTCTCTCTGTGTGTCTCATTCTCTCTTTCTCTCTCTCTCTCTCCCTCTCTCTCTCTCTCTCTCCACCCTACTTAATTCACAGCATTGTTACGGGGAAAAATGGGAGGAGGGAAGGAACACTCGGTATGCCACCTCGAGATATTCATCTCGGGATCTCCGTCCAACAATCAGATAAAAAATGTACAACAGGGGATCTTGGCTTAACACACACTCACGCCTGTGCATTGTGTACAGCTCACAAATCCACTTCTGGGAAAGATTGTGCTATCAACTGTTGTTTGAAGAAAGGGGTTTTGTGAATGGATATGATTTACACATTCAGAGAAACATGGAAACATTGACGAAATGTCGATTATTGTAATGAGCAGATTTAGCACTTATAGGGATTCTTGCCCAAAAAAAAGCCAACACAGTCCTAAGCTGCATTAACAGAAAGATAAAATCGAGATTACATGAAGTGTTAGTTCCATTTTATAAAGCCACCTTAGGAATTCTGCATCCAGTTTTGGTCGCCACAATATAAAAAAAAAAAAGATGTTGAGACTTTGGAAAAAGTACAGAAGAAGAGAAGAAGAGCAAGTAAGGCGATTCGAGGCCTGGAGACAAAAAACATAACGAAGAACAGTTGCAGGATTTGGGTTTGTCTATTCTAGGGAAAAGAAGGACTATGGGGGACATGATAATATTGTTCCAATGTTTGAGGGGCTGCCACAAAGAAGAGGAGGTCAAACTATTCTCCAAAGGCAGCACAAGAAGCAAAGGATGGAAACTAACCAAGGAGAGAAGCAACCTGGAATGAAGGAGAAATTGTCTAACAGTGAGAAAAATTAACCAGTGGAACAGCCTGCCACCAGAAGTTGTGGATGTTCCATTACTGGAGGTTTTTAAGAAAAGACTGGACAGTCATTTGACTAGGATGCTATTTCTCCATGAGGGTGACTCTTTCTGATAATATTTTTTTAAAAAAAATTACATTCCCAAGGCCTTAAAGGAAAGGAAGTACAGCTTTTCAAATGAAATTTGGCTGTAATTAGTAGGGTTTGCTTTGGTTTGTAGAAACGGACTGCATGTCATATCTGGTATGCTTTCTAAGTTAAAAAAAACAAAGCAAACCTTTGGAATACTGTAGATTCCTTGTAATAATTTGTACCATTCACAGTGCGTATTTCTTGCATATTCACCCCTGAGTTTGGCGAATCTTCAACTGAAGATTCTCGCCTTGAGTGGTTTCCACCCGTTGCTTCTTGTCCTGCCCTCAGGTGCTTTGGAGAATAGTTTGACTCCCTCTTCTCTGGGGCAGCCCCTCAAATACTGGAAGACTGGTCTCATCTCTCCCCCTTGGTCCTTCTTTTCATTTTCCCATGTCCACAAAGCCCTTTTTTTTTTTCCGAGTCAAACCAATCAAAAGCAATAGAAACCAGAATGTCCGTCAGTGAAAACAGAACTTTCTTCGTAAAGACCAACCGGGTGATTTGACGCGTTATCTGATCGAGGTAAGAACAGAACGGCTGTACTTCAATAGGACAGGTGAAACGGCCCTCTTCCGTTGATGCCAAACGAGGGGGGGAAAGGGGGCTATGGTTTTCAGAAATCCAATATTTAACCGAGGACAGGGCTAGATTTCGGGCGATAAGGAGTGGGCGCGCCGAGAGACAAAGGGTTGGTGTGGTTTCTTTCCAAACCAAACACCTGAATGGCTGTGAAGGATCAAAGGATGGTATGTATGTACAGAGGAGGCTCTGGGGGGGGATCAGAGGAAGGGTCATAGGTGGAGATAGGACCCAGCTATGGATGGAACGGACACGAGAGTGAGGGATATGAATTCTGATTTTTTAAAAAAAACGTTTTCTCTTCATTTCTGTGCCTTAAGCAGCCTTACTCCTCCCTCTCTACAGAAGGAAGGAGGTTCGCGGGGGGGGGGGGGGGCCCCCCCCAGACAAAGATTAAAAACTGCTTTTACTTTTCTCTGGGGGAGGGGGGGGGGGGGGGGGGAGTGGGGGGTGCAGCTTTGAGCAGCTCTGCAATAGGAAAGGGGTTGGAAATGCACATTCTTAGCGAGGCAGAAGTTAGCACCTTAAACCGCTAGCCAGAATATTAGGAACAAGAATAGCGTGGTGATCCAGGGCGTGGCACAAAGGCAACACAGTCACATAAGTAAGAAAAGTCCCTTTAGTACCTCCAACTTTGCCCCCAAAGTTCAGGTTACCTTTGGCTGGAGAAAAAAAAAAAACTCTCCCAAGAACAGTCCTTAAGTGGAGGAAATTCAGTCCGAAAACAAAGTACATACAAACTGTAACTAAACTGTAACTAAAAATCCACACAAGCCACGCTGCAGCAATTAACTGGACAGGGCAGGAAAAGGAATTGCAGACTTGAAAGGCCAACAAAACACACACAGTTGGTTAAGACCCTAGGACCCCAGATAAGCCTCGACAAAACAAGATAACACACAATTTGCTTCCAACAACTAGCTGTGCAAAAAAATCCCTTTTTAAACACTGTGTTCCCAGCTGCAGCTAATATAGGGAATCAGGGCCCTTTCCTTCCCCATAAGCCATGCAACTCACATTGCTCCTTTTCATTGCAATATATTATTCCACTTAACATTGGCATTGAGTTATAAACTCAGATAAAATACAATATATTGTTCCAATAGATTATTCAATTGACTTTTTCTTTACTTCTTCTCCCTGTTCTTGGAGCAAAAATCAAATTTTCAAAGCTTTCGGTGGCTTCTTAGGAGCCTACAATAAGCAGGTCACCTACCGTGAAGCTGTTGTTGACGTTTTTGGTGCTCGATTCAGCCACGCTGGCATCTGAGAGGTCAACCTCATCGAATATTAAGGACTGTGGAAAGAAAAGAGAGGTGCAAGTTCAATCCCAGCCAAGCTCCTCTTGTTCATTACAGGCTGAACCCATTAATAAATCTAAGAACTGTTAGCCTGAATTATGCAAAATGCAAAGCTCTTTTCTAAAAGAAAAGAAAGGAAGGAAGGAAGTTAAGATGTTTAAGCTCTGTCTCTCCACCTCATAGAATAGAATAGTAAAATAGAATTCTTTATTGGCCAAGTGTGATTGGACACACAAGGAACTTGTCTTGCTGCAAATGCTCTCAGTGTACATAAAAGAAAAGATACATTCGTCAAGAGTCAAGAATCATCAGCTACAACACTTAGTAATAGTCATAGGGTACAATAGAGTAGAGTAGAGTGGAGTGGAGTGGAATGGAATGGAATGGAATGGAATGGAACGGAACGGAACAGAACAGAACGGAACAGAACAGAACAAAATAGAATTCTTTATTGGCCAAGTGTGATTGGACACACAAGGAATTCGTCTTGGTGCAAATGCTCTCAGTGTACATAAAAGAAAAGATACATTCATCAAGAGTCTAGAATCATCAGCTACAACACTTAGTAATAGTCATAGGGTACAATAGAGTGGAGTGGAGTGGAGTGGAGTGGAGTGGAGTGGAGTGGAATGGAATGGAATGGAATAGAATAGAATAGAATAGAATAGAATAGAATAGAATAGAATAGAATAGAATAGAATAGAATAGAATAGAATAGAATAGAAAATTTACAGAATGGAATAGAATGAAATGGAATAGAATAGAATAGAATAGAATAGAATAGAATAGAATAGAATAGAATAGAATAGAATAGAATAGAATTCTTTTATTGGCCAAGTGTGATTGGACACACAAGGAATTTGTCTTTGGTGCAAATGTTCTCAGAGTACATAAAAAGAAAAGATACATTCATCAAGAGTCATCAGGTAAAACACAATGATAGTCATTGGGTAAAATAAGCAATCAAATCATACTAGGAAACAGCCAATATAAATTGTAAGGATACAAAGCGACAAAGTTACCGTCATACAGTCACAAGTGGGAGGGGATGGGTGATAAGGAGTGATGAGAAGATTAATAGTAATAGTAGTGCAAACTTTGTAAATAGTTGGACAGTGTTGAGGGAATTATTTATTTAGCAGAGTGATGGCATTTGGGAAAAATCTGTCCTTGGGTCTAGTTGTTCTGGTGTTCAGGGCTCTATATGGTCATTTTGAGGGAAGGAGTTGATACAGTTTATGTCCGGGATGTGAGGGGTCTGTAGATATTTTCACAGCCCTCTTTTTGACTCGTGCAGTATGCAGGTCCTCCATGGAAGGCAGGTGGGTAGCCATTGTTTTTTCTGCAGTCCTAATTACCCTCTGGAGTCTGTGTCTAACCTGTTTGCTGAACCAAACCAGACGGTTATAGAGGTGCAGAGGACAGACTCCATCATTCCTCGGTAGAACTGGATCAGCAGCTCCTTTTGGGCAGTTTGAGCTTCCTGAGTTGGCACAGAAAGAACATTCCTGGTGCTTTTTTTTTTTGATGATGTTTTTGATGTTAGGTATCCCATTTAGGTCTTGTGATATAATAGAATATAGAAATGTGAAGGTCTCTACTGTTGATACTGTGTTGTCTAGTATTGTAAGAAGTGGTAGCATGGAAGGGTTTCTTCTGATGTCTACCACCATTTCTACGGTTTTGAGCCATTATCCTTATGTATTATTCAAAATATATCATCATCTTCTTCTTCATTTAATGACCCCATAATCGCTTGCGGGGTGGAGTCTGGGCAACTGAGTGGAGCTAGCTGAGTGTTTTACTTGCCAGGTGCCCTTCCTGTTGCCAATGGGGAGTTATAGTCATCATGCCCAGAAAGAGAAATATTTGCCTCTAGCTAGGATCGAACTCATAGCCTCCCGATTGTGAGGCGAGAGATTCACCTCTAGGCCACCACATCACTCCATATTATTCAAAATCTGTACTTATGAATACATATGTTGTGATATGCAGCAGCTTCCCCCTCGATTTAAAGCTTTTCCTATATACTCAGAACAACCAGCATGATAAAAAACTATGACTGATAAGAATTCCCCCCTAAAATATTGGATAAAACATGAATATAGACACTGTTTCATCTGCAAATGGATTTATCTTTATTAAGCCACCAGGCTCTCTCTCGAGCCCAAGGTATAAAGATAATTTCACGTTTTAGAGGATTAGAAATGGTAGTGTTCTTTTCCTTAAATGCCTTTGTAGCAGGAATAAGGAAGAGCTAGTTTTCCAGGTCCTGCATTGTTCTCTGATTCTTGGCAAAGCAAAATCTTTCAGGGGGGAAAAAGGTATATTTACCTTTTCTAGATCTCTTTTAGATCATGCCAGTTTTAACCCAAGGTCAATTTGAAAGGAACACTAACAATGTAAATCCGACCTGCATTCACTAGCTAGGCTATCGAATAATTTCTTCGCAAAATCCAAAGCCAAATGTGCAATCTTGGCTTCTTTTGAGTGCCTTAGAAAGTTATGCTATAAGTAGAAGGAAATGGAATAGTTGCAAGGGGGAAAAAAATACAGCAGCAATCTTATTTTATCACTCTTATCTTCCGTAGCAATTTCTAAAAGCCTCAAAAATACAATTATTCTATCAGGCAAAGCACGTTCCTTAATAAGTGAATAATAAATTTTTACCTTGGAATTCTTGGCATAGTAAAGAGTTCGGCC